GTGAAGCAGTAATGAGGGGCAAAGAAATGTTGGAGGCACTGAATAGGTACTTTGCTTCAGTATTCACAGTGGAAAACACCAGCAGCATACCAAAACTTCAAAAGAGTCAGGGGGCAGATGTCAGTGTTGTAGTCATTATCGAAGAGAAGGTGCTGGGGAAGCTGAAAGGTCTGAACGTGGATAAATCACATGGACTGGATGGACTATATACCAGAGTCCTGAAGAAGATAGCTGAGGAGATTGTAGAGGCTTCAGCAAAGAGGAAGCAGCTGGAATATAATTTGGCAAAGTGTGAGGTTATACATTTTGGTAGGAAAAATAGAGGTGTAGAATATCTTCTAAATGGGGAAGAGCTTCTGAAATCTGAATCACAAAGGGACTTGGGAGTCCTGGTTCAAGATTCTCCTAAGGTTAACATGTAGGTTCATTTAGCAAAAGGAAGGCAAATGCAATATTGGCATTCATTTGAAAAGGGCTTTAATACAAGAACAGGAATGTACTGATGAAGCTATATAAGGCATTGGTCAGACTGCATTTGGAATATTGTGAGCAGTTTTCGTCCCTGTACTTGAGGAAGGATGTGCTGGTTTGGAAATGTCCAGAGGTTTACAAAAATGATCCCAGGGATGAAGGGCTTGTCATATGAGGAGCTGTTGAGGACTCTTGGTCTATCTCAATGGAGTTTAGAAGGATGAAGGGGGGGAATCTGATCAAAACTTACAGCATAATGAGACCGCTGGAGAAGTGGACATGGAGAAGATGTTTCCACTAATAGGAGAGACTAGGACCCAAGGACATGGCCTCAGGGTGAAGGGCCGATCCTTTAGAAATGAGAAGAGGAGGAATTTCGTCATCCAGAGGGTGGTGAATCTGTGGAACACATTACTGCAGAGGGCTGTGGAGACCAAGTCATTGAGTGCATTTATGGGTCTTGACTATTAAGGGGATCAAGGGTTACAGGATGAAGGCAGGAGAATGGGGTTGAGAAACATATCAGCCACAGCAGATAGGGTAAAGGAGAATCCAAAAGGATTCTACACATATATTAAGGACAAGAGAGTAACCAGGGAGAAAATAGTGCCTTTATAAGCTCAATGACGCTGTCCATATGTGGACCCATTGGAGATGGGTGAGATACTAAATGAATATTCCACATCAGTATTTTCTCTGGAGAAGGATGTGAAATGTAGGGAACTCAGAGAAAAAAAGAGTGATGTCTTGAAAAGAGTCCACATTAGAAAAAGAGGTGCTGGAGGCGTTAAAATGCACAAAGGTAGATAAGTCTGCAAGACCTGATCAAATCTATTCCAGAACATTGTGGGAAACTAGAGAAGGAATTGCAGGGTGCCTAGCAGAGGTATTTGTATCATCTACAGCCAGAGGGGTGGTGCTAGAAGACTGGAGGTGGCCATTATTTAAGAGAGGCTGCAAGAAAAACCCTGGGAACTATAGACCGGTAATCCTAATGTCAGTGGTTGGGTAAGTTGCTGAAGACGATTCTGAGAGACAGAATTTACATGCATTTGGAATTGTAAGGAATGATTAGGGATAGTCAACAGGACTTTGTGCATGGGAAATCGCATCTCAGAAATTTGACTGGATTTTCTGAAGAGGTGACCAAGAAGATAGATAAAAGCAAAGTGGTAGAGGTTGTCTACCTGGACTTGAGCAATGCCCTCGACAAGGTTCCACATGGTAGATAGGTTAGTAAGGTTAGATCACGTGGGATCCAGGAAGAGCTAGTCGATTGGATACAAGATTAGCTATAGGAGACAGGGTGGTAGAGGGTTGTTGATCAGACTTGAGCCTTGTGATCAGCAGTGTGCTGCAAGGATCGATGCTGGGTCTGCTGTTGTTTGTCACTGATATAAAATTATTTGAATGAGAATAAAGGAGGCATGGTTAGTAAGTTTGTGAATGACACCAAAATTGGTTGTATAGTGGACAGTGAAGAAGGTTATCTAAGAGTGCAATGGGATCTTGATCAACTGGATGGTTGGATGAGGAATGACGGATGGAGTTTAATTCAGACAAATGGGAGATGTTGCATTTTGTTAAGACAAACCAGGGCAGGAATTAGACAGTTAATAGTAGGGCCTTCGGAGTCAAACAGGGACACCTGGGGTACAGGTTCATAGTTCCTTGAAAGTGGCATCATAGGTAGACGCGGTGGTGAAGAAGGCATTTGGCACATTTGTCTTCATTAGCAGGAACATTGAATACAGGAAATGGGGTGTCATGTTATGGCCGTAAAAGATATTGGTAAGGCCACACTTGGAGTACTCCGTGCGATTCTGGTCGTCCCGCTGTAGGAATGATGTTATTAAACTGGAAAGGGTGCTCAAAAGATTTACAAGGATGTTACCAAGACTGAAGGGATTGAGTTATAAGGAGAGGCTGGATAGGCTGGGTCTTTTTTCACTGGAGCATAGGAGGCTGAGAGGTGACCTTATAGTGGTTTATAAGATCATGAGGGGCATGGATAGGGTGAATAGCCAAGATCTTTTCCCCAGGATAGGGGAGTCCAGAATTAGAGGGCACAGATTTGAGGTGAGAGGGGAAAGATTTAAAAGGGACCTGAGGGCCAACTTTTTTACAGAAGGTATTTACATGGGATGAGCTGCCAGAGGAAGTTGTCGAGGCAAGTACAATTGCAACTTTTAAAAGGTATTTGCAGAAGTACATGGACGGGAAGGATTTCGAGGGATATGGGCTAAATGAGGCAATGGGACTCTTTCAGTTTAGGAAATCTGGTCAACATGAATGAGTTGGGCTGAAGGGTGTGTTTCTGTGCTGTGCTACTCCACGACTCTATGAGCCATGATCACATGGTGGAGCAGATTCGTTGGGCTGAATGGTCTCATTCTGCTCCAAAATCTTGTCTTATGGTCTTAAAGTAAAATGAAATGCTTGCACCTTTTATGACAGCAAGATGTGCCAAAGTATTTTGCAGCCAATTTACTACGTTTGAAATGTGTTTCTGATGTAATGTAGGACAAACCTCAATCAACTGATGCACAGCACAACATGAAAATGTGAAAGTGGCCAGTTAATCTGTTTAATTATATCAGTTGCGGGATAGGTAGTGCCACCTGGGCAGACTTTCTTGCTTTTTTTTCAAATGGTGGCATGAATCTTATACATTCATTGAAGAGGGCAGATGGCACTTTGTTGTGACGTCTCATTTTCACCTGTGCCAGTGTTCGCTCAGTATCAGTTGGATTTCTGCAGTATCAGTTTGGATTTTCCGTTCAAGTGTTTAAAATGAGACATGGATCTCTGATGCAAGAGTTACCACTGAATGAAGGCTGACACATATATGTCTCTCTTACTTTGATAAAAAACAGCTTTGTGATCTCTCATGGATCTTTTTCTGTGCTAGTATTCTGCATATACTCTTGTTTGAGTACAAATGGCCCATTTCATCTTCAACGGTGATAATACTCAAATTAATACATTCTTAATTTTATATGTAACAATCTTTCTGCACTAAAATGTTGTTAACAATAACATATTTTATTTCCAGCACAGAAGATACTGTACTGTATATACTGTACAGACACGTATGTCAAAAATATTAATCTATGGTAAAATAAATGAAAAACATCTGTAAAATAGAAGGTTATTGAGGTGGTACAGTGAATCTTAGCACCGTTGCTTGGTGCTGTGGGATGATAGTATGCTGACATATCATCACAATTCCACATATGGGATAAAGACTTCTCTGTTTGCTATTTCTAATTCAATTGTAAACACATGCGTAAAGAATGCATTTATGACTTTTCTAAAAGTAGCAACAGGACAAAATCTTCTCTTATTCTGAATGATCAACATCAGCCATTTCATTGTGAAAATTATGCTCAGTTAATTAATCACAAGAAGGTAGGGAAAAACAGAAGTATACACCACCATCTGCTAGTTCTTCTCCAAGTTGCACAGCATCCTGACTGAGAACTATATTGCCTAACTTTCACTCCTGTAACTCCCCAACAGCACTGAGGGGAACTCTACGCCAAAGGATGCAGCGTTTCAGGAAGGCAGCTCACTGTTATCTTCTCAAGGGCAATTAGGCGTAGATAATAAATGCTGGCCCAACCAATGACATCTACATCCCATGACGAAATTTAAAAAAATACTCAATTCAGCCTTATGATAATCACAGAATTGGAGAGGAAAGTGTTCAAACTATCAAACAGTGCACTTGTTGAAAAGTCAGGTGATAAAAAGGCATTTTGAAGTAAATTAATCCATTAGGAAAATGCACAAGAAAGTTCAACATTCCCTTCCAAAATTTAACTGAGAAACAGTAATTAGTTCTATTTACATCAGTGCAGTTTCTGGGATGGAATTTCTTGGGGAAGCATGTAATTAGGAAAATGCCTTTGAAATTATGACCATTTGTGCATCATTGTATCAATTTCTAATTCCCAAGTTCCCTCTCAATTTCATTAACAGTTACAGAATGCAAAAATGGTTGTAAATAATTGTAAATGTAATTAAATGTATTTTGTAAACACTTAAGGTTGGGAAAACCTACTGAATGTACACTATATGAAAGAAATGATTCTTTTTGATGGATGGAAATTATGATTTCATGCCATACCCATCATTCCTGTACATTAGTTGCAGCAAGTTCAATGTGACATATATTAATATTATTGGAATGCATTCATTGAAGCTGCAGGTGACCCGATTTGCTGTAAAGGATTATCAATCTGCGTAGATCGCTATGCTTGGATGAGAAGCAGTGAGGTTTACAGTGTGGGTAGATCTATGTCATTCAGTGCCTGTCCCTGATTCAGCAACCAGTCTTACCATTTTTGATTTCAAATAGCCTCTCAAAATGTAAGAGGGACTCCCCCTTTGGTATGACTTAAGTGCAGGATAAATTCTTGCCTCAGTATCACTGGGCCAACCAGAATTTCATTACATAACTTATTAGATAAACCTGCATCAAACTTTAAGCAATGCAAACTAAAATAAAAATAAACACAACCAACCCTCATTCCTTCCCAACGAGAAATGGCTCGCAAAGGCCTCAAAGCACGCAGTGTTCTGAGAGATCGCAGTGATTTGAAGGCTTGAATGCTGTTGCCTAACATACTGAGCCAACCTATCTATAAGAAAAAAGATTATTTTGATATTGCAAATTACTTTACTTGATTATCTAAACATAGATAAATACACATAAACTATTATTTTTCGATCTGTTTCTCATTTTTAAAACTTCTTGGATTTTCCTTTTCAATGGGAGCAATTTTTCTTAGAAATACTTAGATGAATGAAAGTACAGCTGAGCCAGGTGTCTTAACACATACAAAGATACAAGCTAGAATCAGGAGTAGGCCATTTGGCCCTTTGAGATTGCTCCTTCATTTAATAGCATCATGACTGATTTGATTTAACCTCTACTCCATAATACAATCCTGATATATATCAGCCCCTTTCTTATCAAGAATCTATCTATCTCTTTCGTAAAAATATTCAGAGTTTCTGCTTACAATATTTTCCAAATGAGAGTCAATATACTCACATCTTTCGAATAGAATTATTTTTTCTTTGTCTCTGTCTTAAATGGAGGACAACTTATTTTGTAATGGTGACCCCCAGTTCTATATTCCCCTACAAGAAGAAACATTGTTTCCACATCCATCCTTTCAAGTCCCTTCAAGACCTTATATGATTCAATAAAGTCACCTTTTACTTTTCTAAACTCCAGCAGATACAAGACTAACCTGTCCAACAATGTCACTTAAAAAAAGACTGCCCAATCCAGATATTAGTCCATTAAATCTGATCTGAACTGCTTCAAATGTATTTACATCCTCGAAAGGAAGCAATACTGTACAAAATAACTCCGATATGGTCTCAGCAGTTCCCTGCATAACTGAATAATAACCTACCTACATTTACATTCAATTTCCCTTGTCATATTAGATGACATTCTATTAGCTTTCCTAATTACTTGCTGTGCCTGCATTCTAACCTTTTCAATTCATGCGTTATAACACCCAGATCCCTCTGCATCTAAGAGCTCTGCAATGTCTCACCATTTATATAATATGTTTCTTTTTTTATTAATCCTGCCAAATAGAAAAATTTCATATCTTCCCCACATTATACTCCAGTTAATCAAACCTTTGCCCACTCACTTAATTTATCAATATTGCTTTTTGGCCTCGTTATATCCTCTTCACAACTTACATTCTTACAAATCTTTGTGTCATCAGCAAAGTTAGCCACCATACCATCATTCCCTTCGTCCATGTCATTTATATAAATTACAAAAATTTGAAGCCTCAACACTGATCCCTGTGGCATAGGACTCGTTACATTTTGCCAACTAGAAAAAGACCAATTTCTGCTTACTGTCTACTTCCTGTTAGCCAGCCAATCTTCTATTCATGCCAATATATTACCCCTACACCATGAGCTTTTATTTTGCACAGTAATTTTTGATGTGGTATCTTATAAAATGCCTTGTGAAGACCTAAGTTCCATGCACCAACTAGTTCCAGTTTATGGCAGTACTATCTGCATTATGGACCTCTGAGGAACTCCAATTGGGATTGCTATACAACACCTGAATTTTCAAATACCTTAAATTTCTGCTTTGTACAGCTTTGCCACCTGTTTTGACACTGTGAGATGCCACTAAATTATCCTTCTCTGTCTCCTAGGAGATAGTAAGAACTGCTGATGATGGACTCAGAGGTAACACAGTGTGGAGCTGGAGGAACACAGCAGGCCAGGCAGCATCAGAGGAGCAGGAAAGGTGACGTTTCAGGTCAGGACCCTTCTTCAGAAAAGGGGAGGGGGAAGGGAGCTCAGAAATAAATAGAGAAAGGAGGGGTGGGGCTGGGGAAGGTAGGTGGAATGCTGATAAGTCAGTGCAGATAGAGAGTGGTGGGGATTGGTCAATGAGGTATGAAGAGCGATAGGTGGGAGAGAAGATGGATAGGTTGTGTCAGGTCAAGGAGACTGGGATGAGAGGAAGGGTTGGTCAGGGCATGAGGCCAGGGGTGGGGAGATTTTGAAACTGGTAAAATCCACATTTGGGCCATTGGGCTGTAGGCCCCCAAGGTGGAATATGAGGTGCTGCTCCTCCAGTTTGTGGGTGGTGTCATTATGACACTGGAGGAATCCCAGGATGGACATATCATCCAGGGAGTGGGAGGGGGAGTTGAAATGGTTCGTGACCGGAAGGTGTTGTCGTTTGTCGCAAACAGAGCACAGGTGCTGTACAAAGCGGTCTCTGAGCCTCTGCTTGGTCTCCCCGTTGTAGAGGGGGCCACATCGGGAGCAGTGGATGCAATAGACCACATTGACAGTGGTGCATGAGTGCTGAAATAATTGATCCTTATTTCGATGGAAGTAGGCTCTAATTCAATCCAAAGGTCTGATAGCATCCTCACTGAATGGCTTTTCAATGTTAGAAAATTTCACTTAACCAGTTTACATTATACCAATAAATCAGATATAACTTCAATTTAAAAAAAAAGGTGCTTAGTGCACCCAAAGTACATAAATTGCAAAAAGCTATAATAACTGGCTACAACCTGCTACTATTGTCAAAGATCACTTTGGACAGCCTGCCCTCTTATTTTGATAGAAAACCACATGCCTAGTGTTCAGTAATTATATAAATGGGAGCATAGAGAATCATTGGTGCAGCCAAATTTTTCTGTCTGTATCTCTGCAATCATTGTAGCATATGGCAGTGTATAAGCTGTTAGTGTGTTGAACATTCCTGTCCCACAGGCATTATTGGAGAATGTGATAATGCTGGCAATTAGCATCTGCAATTGGAATGCAAGGTGATGATTTTGAGCACAGAAAGATTTTAATCGACTCTGAAGTAGCTAACTCTCTTTTTATTCCTTTTGTACTCTGGAGGCTAGGTGCTGGCACGGACTGGGATGGAAGGACTGAAATTCTGAGGATTTTATTCCTTTAGTCTTCTATTTTATTCCTATGACTTTGTGTTTTTCCCATTTATTCCTAAGAATCTGTACTTAAGAATCTGTACATAGGTACCTTGTATCTAAGATGACACTGTAAATGGCGACTTGTATAAAATTTCATTGTACTCATGTGTCGATAAAGATCATTCTAATTCTAATTCTCCACTCAATGACAATCTAATTTCCAATCTATCAGAAACTGTGCAGACTGAAGCTCCTTGTTAATTGGCAGAATGAGCCAAACTGATGTTTCCACACCTGATCCAAAATAACCACATGTAGCGCAATTTATTGGATGTCAATTTTGATATTCAAAATAAACTTTTAAAAATATCGGACTGGATCTATCATGATGCCAGCATTGGAAAATGGTAATATGGGAGCCCAGACTGAGTCTGCCAATTGAATCTGGTTCAGATCTTACCTGAAATTCACACACGTACATGCTCAAAGAGAAATCAGATGGCGGTGTGCTGTAGGAACTCCAGTTGCTTCTGTTCCCCTCTTTTTATCACTGGAGGGCTCTTGTCAATCTTAGCCCTTCACACTACTTTGTATTTTTTGTGTCACCTAATTATTAATTTTAAAATGTGGACTTTATGATATGCAAAGTAGATTTTTCCGGAAGTGTGCAGCACAGTGCTTTAGCACTCTGCTATGAAGTATATGTTCTTCTAGTTTACTGCTGTGATTTCAATGCAGTGAGTTTCTGATCTTTCCTTGTCCATTGTAGGGTGAGGGTTGGGGGTAGGGGTTTGGGTGAGACGCAAACCAAATCTAAGACTTTCCTCTTCAGGGACAAAGAGCCACTGAGGACAATTTACTTCTGGAGGGAAGAAGCCAGAAAATAATGGCAGGCACTGGAGAACTTCAAGAAGTCAAAGAGATAGTTCTAATAAAAAGAGGATTACAATGACATAAAGTGAGGGAAAACAAAATCTTCTGAAAGATGTTTCTAATCAAAATAACTTGTCTGGTCTTTACAGTTCTGTTTATTCTGTGTAAGGCATCTGGCTTCAACGTGACAATTCACTGTTGTCACTAGACAACCAACCCACAAATGTGTATCAGGTGTTTGTGAGGAGCAGTTACTCCAGGCAATTCCCATCCAGCTTACATTTGTTAAAGAAACACATTGTTCTTTGAACACTAATGTCTTCTGAATAAACAACCATGCTACATGTTGTGAAATGATATACAGATGCTATCTCATTATCGTGAGCCTGAGAACAAAATCAAATTGCATTCTTATGAACAACATGTAAAGTACTTGAAACAAGATTTTAAAATTATTTCTGCAAAGAACATACTGAATTAATAAACAAAAACTTACCACAACAAGGAAGAAATCCAGTAACGTCCAGACATTTGTAAAATAGTCAGTAAGACCAAGGCCTAGCACTTTAACAATCATTTCAAAATTGAAAAAGAAGGCATAAAAGTAATCCAGGTACCGCAGTGCCAGCTGGACTTTTGCATCTTTTTGTAAGTATTTATCATCTAAAGTCTATAAAGGAGAAAAGAAACATTCCAAAACATTAGGCAGAATTCAGCAATACAACTCTTTCAATCTAAAAGTAGTCAGGATCTTTGAATCTTTCCTTTCAGTACAGCAGTTAGAAAGATGTCCTCACAACTAAGAATAAATGTTTCCCCAGATATGTAACTTGCCAAAAAGTCCCCAAGGTGGCCAGGATTGGTTCTCCCCTATTTAGCTTTTGATACTGTCTCACTGTTAAAAATGTCAAAGCATGTGCCACGAACAAATGCTCTGAGAAGTAAGGCAATGATTGAGCCTATTAAATGCATTGGAGGATGGAAAATGTAATCCCACTGTTTCAAAAAAAAGGAGGGAGGATGAAAACTGGAAAATACAGATTGGTTAGCCTGACATCAGCACTAGGGAACACTCTGAAGACTATTGTAAGGGAAATGATAACAGGGCATTTAGAAAATACCGACAGGATTACAGAAAGTCAACATGGATTTATGAAAGGGAAATCATGTTTGACAAACCTACAGAGGCTTTTTGACAACATAACTACTGAATGATTGAGGCAGAACTAGTGAACGCAGTGTATTTGGATTTTGAAAAAGCTTTTGATAACGTTCCACATTAGAGGTTAGTGTGCAAAATTAAAACACATGGGATGTGGCATGGATTGAGAATTATTTAGAAGACAGGAAACAGGGAACAGAGATAAATAAGCCTTTTAAGTAGTGGAAAGTGGTGATTGGTTGGGTAAATAGTACTTCAGCCCTGACTATTCACAACGTGAATCAACGGCTTGGATGAGAGAGTTAAATGTAATATTTCTGACTCAGAACTAAGAGGAAGTATGAGAAGTCAATATGATGTAAAGAGGCTTCAAAATGTTTTAGACAAGATGAGAAGGTGGGTAGGTATATGTCAGACGCTATATAATGTTGTTTAAGAGTGAATTTGTCTACTTTGGTAAGAGAAACTGAATGGCAAAGTATTATAGGAACAACGATTGATGGGAAATTATTGATGTGCAAAGGGATCTGGGTGTCGCGCACACCAGTGACTGAAAGCAAGTATACATGTGCAGCAAGCAGTTAGGATGGCAAATGGTATGTTGAATTCCTTTGGAAGAGGACTTAAGTTCCAGGGCAAGGATATCATACTGCAGCTGTACAGGGCTTTGGTGAGACCACGCCTGGGGTATTATGCGTAGTTTTGGTCTCCTTACCTAATAACAGATATACTCACCATAGGGCGAGTTCAGGAAAGGTTCAGCAGACTTTTTCCCAGAATGACGGGTTTGTTGTCTGAAGTGACATTGGGTTGACTAGGCCTTTATTCACTGGATTTTAGAAGAATGAAAGGAGATCTCCTTGAAATGTATCGAATGACAGGGTGGACAGACTGGAAGCAGTGACGATGTTTCATTTGCCTGTGAGGTCCAGACAAGAGTTCATGGTCTTGGGACACAGAGTAAACCCATTTACGACTGGGGAATATCAGAACTGGAGCAGGCCATTTATCCCCTTGAGCCCATTCCACCATTCAAAGGCTAATCTGTAGCATAACTCCATTTACCTGCCTTTGGTCCATATCCCTTAATACCTTTGCATTACAAACCTTTGTCTATCTCACATTTAACATTAACAACTTTTCCAGCATCCACTGCCATTTTTGGAAGACAGTTCCAAACGTCCACCACCTTTTGTGTGTAGAAGTGTTTCTGAACATCTCTCCTGAGTGGTCTGGCCCTAATCCTTAGACTATAGGAGGAATGCCGTGGTTAAAGAAGGCAGCTCACCACCACCTTCTCAAGGACAACAAGGGTTGGGCAAGAAATGCTGGCCAGCTAGCGATGCCCACATCCCACAAAATGAATAGAAAAAAAAACTATACCACCTAGTTCTATAATCCCCAACCAATGGAAATAGTTTATCTTTATCTGCTCTGTCTTTTTGATAAATTTCTTTACACAGGGGATTGTGGCCCTGTGGAATTCTGTATCGTATAAGATGATTAATGTCAACTCACTGAATGTTTGCGATCCAGAAATAGATTTATTTCTCGACACTAAAAGTGTTAAGCGGTATGGGATGAGTGTGGGAGTATGGCATTGGGGTAGACAATCAACCATGATCATATTGAATGGTGGAGCAGACTTGATGGGCTGAAATACCTACTCTTGTTCCTATTTTCTATACCTCTATATACATATCTCTCAGATCTGTGACTTAAGCTCATTTATCTGGTTTAGCTCTATACCCATTAGCTAACAAAAAATGATTGATTTCAGTTTTGAAAGCAGCAATTAGCATTCACAACCTTTTGAGGGAAAATAGTACCAGATTTCTACCATTCTTTCATCAAGAAGTATTTCTGGATTTCATTTTAAATTGGTTCAGTTCCAATTTTAGCATTATATCTCCTTATTCTTGATCCCCCCCAGAGGTAATATTTTTTCTGTTCTATGAAATCCTTTCACATTTTAGTGGTTTAGAATTTCTGAATTGTGATTGAAATAATGACATACTATGCTAGATGTCCAAAGTAGTACCCAACAAAACTTTTCACAAGAAAGTGGTCACAAGGTAAGATGAGCAAATGTCAATATTGAAAATAAAGACAAACTTACATTTCACTTTAGTGTGTTTTGTGACTGCAAGATACTGCAAATCACTTTGCAGCCAATGAAGTCCTTATTGTAATATAAGAAATGTGACAGGCAATTTGCAGATAGCAAGGTTCCACAAACAGTAGTGTGATAATAAAGAGACAATCTGTTTTTGTGATATTGATTGATGAATGCATATCGGCCAGAACACCATAGTTTCTTTACTGCTATACTCTGAAATAGTGCAATTGTTTTCATTCACCTCAGTAACGGTTAATAGCACCTTGGTTTAATGCTTCATCTGATAGATGGAAACTCTGATGTGGAGGTGCCGGTGTTGAACTGGGGTGGACAAAGTCAGAAGTCACACAACATCAGGTTATATTCCAACAGGTTTATTTGAAATCACAAGCTTTTGGAGTGTAGCCCCTTCATCAGGTGAAGTGAGAGAGAAGCACACAGAACACAGAATTTATAGGCAGAGAGAGATCAAGGGCAGAAAGATCAAAAGATCATAAAAATGGTGTGAGTGGAGTGTCGAATAATAAGTCTCTGCAGGTGAGCAAAAGTTTTAGACCAGGTGAGTAAAGCGTCAACAGCTGAACTCTGACAGTGCAGAAGTCTTCCAGTTCTCCAGTGTCAACTCAAGTGTAAACATCTATCTTTAAGCTCAAGTCTCTGCAATAGATCATATACACACAAACTTCTGTCTCAAGGTGGTGATGCTAACAACAGACCATAACTGACACTGAATAGTATTGCAGGCTCCTGATCTAAACTGTGCTTTAATTCAAGGGGTAGGTGATGGTCTAGTGGTATTACTGCTGGATTATTCCAGAAACCCTGGTAATGTTCTGTGTCCCAGATGGTAGAATTTGAACTCAATAAATATCTGGAATTAGGACCCTAATGATGACCATGAAACCATTGTCGTTTATTGGAAGAACCCATCTGAGATGACGAATGTCCTTTAGGGAAGGAAATTACCATCTTTTCCTGGTCTGGCCCACATGTGACTCCAGACCTACAGCAATGTCGTTGACACTTAACAGCCCTCTGGGCAATTAGGGATGGGTAATGAATGCTGGCCTGGCCAGTGACACCCACATCTCGTGAATGAATAAAAAAAGTCAAAAAATTCAGCTCCTCATTGCAAGCTGCAGTAACGTCATCACATGGACAGGATGAAAAACTAATTAACTACTTTCTGTGGAATTGTAAATTGGTGTTTACAAAGAGAGGTTAACTGCAGACAACATACAATGTGGGAAATGTGAGGTCAATGCAGAAATGTTGTTTCCCTTTGTGAGGGCATAATCTCAGAGTAAGAGTCGCCTTTCTAAGGCAGTGGTGAAGAGGAATTTCTTTTCTCAGAGGATAGTGAATCTTTCCCACAGAAAGCTGTCGAGGCTGGGTCATTGAATATATTAAGTTTGAGATAGAAAGGTTTTTGTCAGGGAATCATCGTTTATGAGGAAAAGGCACGTAAGTAGAGTTGAAGATTATCAAATTTGCCATGATTGCATTGAATGGCAGAGCAGACTTGATGGCCATTCGAGTGGCCTACTTCTGCTTCTATGTCTTATGGTCTTTTGGTTAGAGGCTTGAAACAGCAGAAATATCTTTTGTAAGATAACAGATATGTTTGTCTAGTTACGTAAAAAGTACTTAAGGAATCTCCCAAAGTATAATACGTGGAGACAAGGATTAGCAGGAGTTGGTCAGAATAAATGGTTAATTGTTATTCAGGATTAAAGTAGTGTTTGAAATGAAGGAGGAAACCAGACTTCTTGAAGGAGTTTTAGCAATGGAGGAAATGTTGGACTCAATTTGAGGCATTATGAACAAGTAAGATCAAGATATTGATCGATGTGGAAATAGTAAACATGGAATTATGTTTCTCGTAATGAAGACACTTCTGATTAGTCTGTTGCTTTATATTTCTTTTGGCTAAAGGATGGAAAATACTCTGTGACATGAGTATTAGTAAATCCTTCAACAAATCTGTATGAATTTTCTGCATCAAATATTTTAACAGCTGCATTTTCTATTTGTGTCTTTAGTCAGTTAATCATATCATCTTGCCAAAACATCAGCCTTCCTGCTCCTCTGATGCTGCTTGGCCTGCTGCGTTCACCCAGCTCTACACCTTGTTATCTCAGATTCTCCAGCATCTGCAGTTCCTACTATTTTAAATTATATTGAGTTACATAGAATCTAGAACAGGTAAGTATTCCCAACTGGTCAAGACTTGTGATTACAACAACTTATATACAGCATTGTTACAGTGGTAAAATATCCCCACGTGCTTTGTAGGAGCCTTATCAAATTATCAAATTCTGAGGAAGGGTCACTGGATCCGAAACGTTAACTCTGTTTTCTCCTTCAAAGATGCTGCCAGACCGGCTGAGCTTTTCCAGCAACTTTGTTTTTGTTCCTTATCAAATTAAATTTGAACTAAGCCATGTAAGGGGATATTAGAGCAAACAAAAAGAAGTTTGCTAAAGGTGTTCAGTTTTAAGGAATGTCCTAAATGAGGAAAGAAAGGTGTAGAAATCTAAAATTAGTGCTTTGACAGATGAATGGAAGACCACATTATTGGGGTGATTATAATCAAGGCTGCTCAAGGAGCCAGCATTAGAGGAGTGCAGATATTGCAGAAGGTTTTAGCTATGGTGGATGTGGAAATATGTGGATGAGGGGGTAAGGGCATGGAGAGATTATAAAACAGGATGAAAATTTTAAACTTGATAATTTCCTTAACTTGGAGCCAATGTATATCCATGAGCACTGGGGGAGGGGGATGGGGGGTTGCAGGAAGGTGAAAATGTTTGGTGAAAGCTAAGAGTTGATGTTATTGAGGTGGAAATGGGCAGCATTGGTGATGGGATAACACAATGTGGAGCTGGAGGAACACAGCAGGCCAGGCAGCATCAGAAGAGCAGGACAGTTGATGTTTCGGGTCAGGACTCTTTTTCATTAGTTACCATCCTTGAAAAATTCCAGGAGATTTGTCAAGCATGATTTTCCTTTTGTAAACCCATGCTAATCTGTCTGATCCGGCACTGTTTTCCAAATGATCTACTGTTAAAATTTTTGTGATGGAATCGACCTTTATCCCACTGCCAATATCATGCTAACCGGTCAATAATCCACTGTTTTCTCTCTATGTCCTTTTTTAAATAGTGAGGTTTTATTAAATACCTTCCAATTCATAGGAACTATTCCAGAGTCTATAGATTCTTGAAATATGACCATAAATGCATCCACTGCACCTCGGACCACTTCCTTAAGTAATCTGGGATGTGGATTATTGAGCCTTGGGGATTTGTTGGCTTTCAATCCCATCGATTTCCCCAACACCATTTCCCTACTAATACCGATTTCTTTCAGTTCCACCTTCTCAGTAGACCATGCAAACCCCCCGCCCCATTATTTTTGAGACCTTATTTGTGTCCTCTTTTGTGAAGACAGAACAAAAGATGTATTTAATTGGTCTGCCATCTCTTTGTTGTCCATTATAAACTCCCCTGTTTCTGACTGTAAAGGACTTACATATGTCTTCACTCATCTTTTTCACTTCATATAACAATAGCAGCTTTTACAATCAATTTATATGTTCCCCACAAGCTTATGCCTGTACTCTATCTTCCCCTTTTTAACCAATCCCTTTGTCCTCCTTTGCTGAGATCTTAACTGCTCCCAATCCTCAAGTCTGCTGAAATTTTTTTGGCCAAGTTGTATGCCTCTACCTTGGATTGAATACTAACATTAATTTCCCTTGCCAGCCAAGACTGGACCATCTTTTCTGTTTTATTTCAGTGTCGGGCAGGAATGAACAACTGCTGCAGTTCTTCCATGCTCTCTTTAACACTTCCCATTGCCCATAATCCCTTTAAGTAACATTCCCCAATTTAACATAGCCAGCTCCTGCCTCACATCAATGTAGTTTCCTCTATTAAGATTCAGGATCCGAGTCCCAAAATCAACTATGACACTTTCCATCTTAATGAAGAATTCTATCATATTATGGTCACACTTCCCCAAGTGCCTTGTACAGTTAAATGATCACTTACTTAAAGTGGAAGGAAGTTTATATTGGAGTCCCCAAAGAGTCAGTGTTAGGGCCCCAGGGACCCCAATATATGTGAATGATCTGGTTCTTGGAATAAAGGATATAACTTACAAATTTTCTGACAACAGAAGATGTAGAATTATTATGAACTATGAGTTGGGTAGTGTGGAATCCAAAAGGGTATAAACAGTTTGGTGGGATGGGCAGAGGAATGGCAGATTACATTTTATGCAGAAAAGTGTGAAGTTATTCATTTTGACGCAAGGAATGCAGAAAGATGGTACCAAATAAAGTGTTGAATTCTAAAGGGGTTGCAGGAGCAGAGGCATCTGGGTATATGTATTTACAAATCTTTGAAGTTAGCAGGACAGATTGATAGAGCACTTAATAAAGGCTATTGCAAACTGGACTTTATAAAAAGGGGTCAGAGTAGAAATGTAAAGGAGTTATGTTAAACCTATATATAATAGTGGTACAGTCTCAAGGGGAGGAAGACATCTAGTACTGGGACCACACTTCAGAAGGGACATTGGAGAGGGTGTTGATATAATTTACAGTGGTTCGAGGGATGGGGAAGTTCTGTGACACAGTTAGATTGGAGAAACTAAGACTGTTCTCCTTGGAGAAAGAGACTGTTGAGAGATTTGATTGAATCCTGAGGAGTCTGGACAGAGTCGCAACAGAGAAGCTGTTCCCACTGGTGGAAGGATTAAGAAGCAGATGGAACAGATTAAGGGAATTCGCAAAAGAAGCAGGGAAGACGCAAAGAAAAACCTTTTCACAAAGTGCTCTTGAGGCTGATTCAATTGAGGCAGGGCTATGGGTGGATGGTTGAGAAATGGCAATAGGTGAATTGCTCCTGCAGAGGTCTAGCACAGGTAGGACTTGGGGAATAATCTCCCTCTACGCTGTGACCATTCTAGGAATTGAGAAGACCATTAAGTTCTCAACACACATCAAGGAATAATTTCTAAGTCACTAGCCTGTTTTGGCCTGGTGTTATGTTATTGATACAATTCCATAAAAAAACTAAATTCTATGGAGGCTTAACATATGCAAAGTCAGTGGAATCATACAAGAATATTAATTGTGTCATGGGAGTTGAAGCTAAATATGATGCCAAGATTTCTGAGCTTATATACATATCCGAACAATCATGTTTTTGAGTACGTGTTTGGTTTGGTGACAAAGAAAACAAAAAAATAGCCCTGGTTGCCAGAACATTTAAATTCAAATATAAAGTAGGACCAGATCGAAACAAGGGTTAGCTCCAACACTACACTGGCTTGAGGACAACAATTGATTTTCTTTCAATCTGTTAGGACTTACCAGTGTCATGGTACTCAAAAGTATGACAAACAGTACACTTCCATCAAACACTCGATTATTCACCACTTTGAACATCAGTGTTCTCAGTGAAAGGAAGAGCTTTCCCAAGAATGTCGTTTTAAGTACATTACAACAAATGCATTTTTCAGTGCACATGGCTGGCAAGCAAGGCTGCATTGTTTTGACTTCTGTTTTTTGTTCTTCATCCTCCATGCCTTCCTCTTCAATGGAGCATGGAGGATTCTCACCATCTGTTTTATTATCTTCATTAACAGATTTATCATTTGACTGCTCTGCTTTTTCTGGGCAACTTGTGTCCCCATATGGATGATCAAGTTCACGTTCCACCTCCTGCTGCACTTCCTCCACTGTCTCGAGCTAATATAATAAAGAATAATGGGTTGACCAACTTTGTCTATGACAACATATGATGCAAAAATGATGAACATCGCAACTTAATTCTTCAAGATATACATAGCTACATAATATAAGTTTGGTGACAAGCTTGTACCGACATGTAAACAGAAAATTTTGAGAACACTCGGCATTCTCATCAGTGGAGAGCAAAACAGAAAGTAGCAAAGCACAAAGTGAATGGCACATCTACTCGCAATGGGAATGATTAACCAAATGTGAGTGGTTGCCGGTGAATCAAAAGCTACAGTAGAAGGGCAGTAGCCAGCCAATTTTGCAAAATGGGACAGACAGGAAATTGTTGATTCCACTGTTAGTCAAGGGTTTAGAAGTATGTGCCAGTGCCACGTGCCAGTGAGGCTAGGAATAGAAAGACAGGACAGATGAATGCATGGCTAAGGAGCTGGTGCAGGAGGCAGGGTTTCAGGTTCTTGGATCATTGGGACGTCTTCTGTGGCAGGGGTGACCTGTACAAGAGGGATGGGTTGCACCTAAACTGGTGGGGAAGCAGTATCCTCTCAGAGAGGTTCACTAATGCTACTGGGTAGGGTTTAAACGAGAGTGGTTGGGGTCTTGGAACCAGAGCAGCAGGTCAGCAAGTGGAGGGATTGAGGGGAAGGTAGATGTTAGGACCAGTAAACCAGAAAGAAAGGACAGGCAGAGACAGGTAAAGGAACACAATGGTACTAATGGGCTGAAGTGTGCTTTTTCAATGCAATAAGTATTATAGGTAAGGCAGATGAGCTTAGAGCCTGGATCTGTACATGGGAATTTGATATTGTGGCCATTACAGAGACTTGGATGAGAGAGGGACAAGGCTAGCTGCTCAATGTTCCAGTGTTTCATTGTTTTAGATGAGATAGAGAGGAAGGTAAAAGAAGTAGAGGAGTTGCATAATCAGGGAGAATGTTACATCTGCACTCAGACAGGACATGCTGGAAGGTTCATCCACAGAGGCAATATGGGTAGAGATCAAAAATAAGATGGGTATATTCACTTTGATTGGATTATACTACAGGCCCCCAAAAGCCACCAAGAGATTGAGGAACAAATATATAGGCAGATTATGGAAAGGTGCAATAAAAACAGAGTTGTCATAGTGGGTGACTTTAACTTCCCCAATATTGACTGGGGTTCCCTTAGAGCAAGAGGCTTAGATGGGGTAGAATTAGATGGGGCAGAATTTGTTAAGTACATCCAAGAGGGTTTCTTAAAACAGTATGTGGATAGACCAACTAGAGGACGGGCCATACTGGACCTTGTATTGGCTAATGAACCTGGCCGAGTGACTGACCTTTCAGTGGGAGAGCATTTTGGAAACAGTGATCACAATTTCTTAAACTTTACGATAGCTATGAACAAGGATAAGTCAGGACTTGCGAGAGGGTACTAAATTTGGGGAGGGCAAATTATGTCAGTATTAGGCAGGAACTAGGGAGTGTTAATTGGGAGGAGCTGTTATCAGGCAAGTCGACATTTGATATGTGGGAACTATTTAAAGACCTACAGATGAGACTTCAAGACCAGCATGTTCCAGTAACAAGGAAGGATAAGAATGGCAAGGCAAGGGACCCTTGGATAATGGGGAAGATTGTGAATTTAGTCAGAAGGGTAAAAGATGCATATGTAAGGTTTAGAAAGCTAAAATCGGACAGGACCCATGAAGGATATGAGGAAAGCAGGGAATTAGGAGAGCAGGAAGGGGTCATGAAATGACCTTGGCAAGTAGGTTTAAAGAGAATCCTAAGGCATTCTATAGATACATTAAAAACAAAAGGATAACTAGGAAAAAGGTAGGACCACCCAAGGATAAAGGAAGGAACTTGTGCTTTGAGGCAGAGGATGTGGGCAAGATCCTAAATAAGTACTTTGCGTAAGTATTCACCCAGGAGAAGGACATGGAGGGGATTGAGATTTGTGTGAGCGTGCTAATATGGTAGGGCATTTTGAGATCAAGAAAGACGTGGGGTTGGATCTCTTGAAGAGCATTAAGGTGGATAAGTCCCCAGGGCCCAGTAGTATCTATCCTAGGTTGTTGAGAAATGCAAGAGAGGAGATTGCTAGGGCCTTGACCAAGATCTTTTTATCCTCAAGAGGTCCTGAAGGACTGGTGAGTAGATCATGTTGTTGTTCTGTTCAGGAAGGGAAATCCAGGAAACTACAGACTGGTGAGCCTCATATTGGTGCTTCAGAAGCTATTGGAGAGAATTCTTAGGGATAGGATTTATGCACATTTGGAAAAGCATGGCCTAATTAGGGACAGTCAGCATGGCATTGTGGAGAGCAGGTCACGTCTTACTAACTTGATTGAATTTTTCAAGGAGGTGACAGAGGTTAACGATGAGGATAGAGCAGTACACATTGTTTACATCAATTTCAGTAAGGGTTTTGACAAGGTCCCTTGTGATAGGCTCATCCAGAAGATTAAGATGCATAGGATCCATGATGACTTAGCTGTATGGATTCAGAATTGGCTTGCCCATAGAAGACAGAGGGTAATGTTGGACGACTGTTTTTCAGGCTGGAGGTCTGTGACTAGTGGTGTTCTGCAGGGACCCATTCTGGGACCTCTGCTGTTTGTGATATATACAAATGAATCAAATGAAAACATAGATGGGTGGGTTAATAAGTTTTCAGATGATAGAAAGATCAGTGGAGCTGTGGATAGTGTAGAAGCTTGTCAATGGGGACAGCCGGATATAGATCAATTGCAGATATGGATGGCGAAATGGCAGATGGACTGTAATCCAGGTAAGTGTGAGGTGTTGCACTTTGGGAGATCAAAAGTTAAGGAAAAGTATGCAGGTAATGGCTGGACTGCATTGATGTACAGAAGGGTCTTGGGATTCAAGTCCATAGCTCCCTGAATGTGGCCACACAAGTAGATAGGGTGGTAAAGAAGGTGTATGGCATGCTTACCTTTATTTGTCGGGGAATTGAGTACAAGAGTCAGGATGTCATGTTGCAGCTTTATCAGACTTTGGTTAGGCCACACTTAGAGTATTGCATTTAATTCTGGTTGCCACATTACAGGAAGGATGTGGAGGCTTTGGAAAGGATGCAGAAGAGGATGAAAATCTTTGGAAAGGGTGCAGAAGAGGATGCAGAAGAGAATCAGGAAGCTGCCTGGATTAGAGCGTATGAGCTATACGGAGAGGCTAGAAAAACTCAGGTTGTTTTCTCTTGAGCAGCAGGGGCTGAAAGAAGAAATAAGAGAAGTTTCTTAAATAATAAGATGCATAGACAGGCTTGATAGTCAGAATCTTTTTCCCAGAGTTGAAATGTCTAATACTAGGGGGCGAGAATTTAAGGTGAGAGGGGGAGACATGAGGGGCAAGTTTTTTACACAGAGAGTGGTAGGAGTCTGGAACCAGGGATAGTGGTGGAGGCAGATTCATTAAGGGCATTTAAGGGACTTAAGATAAGCACATGAATATGCAAGGAATGGAGGGATATGGACCAAGGGCAGGCAGAAGGGATTAGTTTCATTTGGCGTCATGTTCGGCACAAAGCTGTGGGCCAAAAGGCCCATTGCTGTGCTGTACAGTTCTATGTTCTATGTTCTATGGGCACCTTTTGAAGTAGCATCTGCAACGATTACAAGCCAGTAGCTTCAATGCTGTATAATCTGACTGGAACCCAATTTCTGCCCAAATCTTCAGGCTCAGCCTTCTAGTTTTCTGAACCCAGGATCATCAGTCAGATCTTTAGACTCTGTTTTGTATACCCTAATCTGTGCTCAGACTTAAGAAGGGAATGTCCATCTGACACTGGATCAGGACTGACGCAATTCAGTAATCCCTCCATGTAGGTTCTCCTCCAGGATTCCTAAGAGTGACAGGAGGCATTCTTCCTCACCAAGTGCATCAGCAGACCCTCCCATCCAACTGAGGAATTCTGGATGAAGATTGTCATGCAGGCTCGTAGTTGTGAGGTCCACCTGAGGCCAACCAGGAAAAGGGTTTCTGGCCTTCGTTGCACAGATAAAGGGAGTATTATGGAATCATTAGAACAATGTGGGTCCCATGAGAGCAACAAGCAAAGTGACTCTGTGAGGGTAAGGAGTGAGCAGGAAGGCAAAAGAAGTGTGAGGTACAGCAGCTGATATGCCATGAAGCTTGGATGTACATAGGTACAGCTCACGCTTCCATTTTTGGACAAGTGACATGAAAGTCTGGGGTTTAGTTGTCCAAGGACCAAAGGATTATTCTTCTCTTCTGTTTGAAGGAGGAGTGCCCAGCATTAGAACAATCACTAAAGTAACCTTACTCTTCCCAAGCAATGGTAGATGCCTGTTCTATAACTGTACCAGAAAAAAAAATCTTGGCTAGAGGCATAGCTAGTTCTGGACTATAATTCTTCAGTATTACTGCAGTCAGGAACCATAGTGTTTGAGGTATCCAGTGCCTTCAGCTGCTTCAGGGGGAGGTTGAGTTGGATGATCCACTTAACATTTAAGGCTAAAGACCGTTGCAAATACTTTAGCCTTATCTTTTGCATTGATTTGCTCGGCTCCCTCTCATATTGAGGATGGGGATATTTGTGGGGAGTTTTCTTTTTAGTTTTTGTGTAGTTTTTAATGTCCATCACCATTCATGACTGAATGTGGCAGGACTGTAAAATGTAGATCTGATCAATAGTAATGGGATCAGTTAGCCCTGTATATCATTTGCTATTTCCCCTGCACGGTCCGCAAGTATTCCTATATCATAGCTTGACCGATTGAAACATCATTTTAAAATGTGCCTGCTGCTGCTTCTGGCATGCTTGCTTGCACTTTTCATCTAACCAGGGTTGATCACCTGGTTTGATGTTGATGATAAAATGGAGGGTTTAGTGGGCCTGAGTTTACAGATTGTTCTTGAATACAATGGTGCTGGTGCTAATAAACCAACAGTGTCTTACAGGCTTAGGTTTTGAGTTGATGGATCTTGTGCCTTGTAAGTGATGGATTGCAGTATTCCTGGCTTCTGACCTGCTATTTTAGCCACTGTGTTTATGTTGAGTTTCTGATCAATGATAACACTCAGGATGTTGAAAGTGGGCGATTCAGAGATGGTAACACCACTGAATGTCAAGGGACGGTGGTTAGATTGTCTCTTATTGGTGATGGTCATAGCCTGGCATTTGTGTGGCACGAATGTCACTTGTCAGCCCAAGCCCGGATATTATCCAGATCTTGTTGCATTTGAACACGGACTGCTTCAGTATCTGAGGAGTTGGAAATGGTGCTGAACATTGTGCTACTGTCAGCAAACATCCTCACTTCTGACCTTATGATGGAGGGAAGGTCATTGATGAAGCAGCTGAAGGTGGTTGGCCTAGGACACTACCCTGAGGAACTCCTGCAGACTTGTCCTGGAGCTGGGATAAGTGACCTCCAACAATCACAACCATCTTCCTACGTGTCAAGTATGAATCCAACCAGTTTGGAGTTTGCCCATGGATTCCCAGTGATTCAAGTTTTGCTGAAGCTGCTTGATGCCACACTCAGTCTGAAGCAGCCTTGATGTCAAGGGCTGTTACTCTCACCTCACCGCTGGAATTCAGCTTTTTGTCCATGTTTGAACCAAGGCTGTGATGAGGTCAGGAGCTGAGTGGCCTTGGTGGAACACAAACTGGGCGTCACTGAGCAGGTTAATGCTAAGCAGGTGCTGCTTGATATCACTATTCGCTGTTTGCCTTTTCAACTGCAGCTGGTCTGGTGTAGCAGCTATAGCCTTTAACACTTGGCCAGTTGTAGTGCTACTGAGCCACGTATGGACATTCTGTGCCATTGATATCCACAGTCTTTCTTCCAAGTGGAGTTCAACATGGGGGAAGACTGATTCATTAGCTGAGGTGGAAGGAGGAGGATGTGGTAGGTGATAATCAGCAGGAAATTTCCTCATTCATATTTGACTTGCTGCCATGAGACTTCTGGATTCAATATCTCAAACAACTCTTTCCTCATTTTACATCACTCTGCTGCCACCTCTGTCCTGGGACAGGGCATACCCAGAGATTGTGCTTGTGGTGTCCGGTATGTTGTCTGCAAGATTCCATTAGAATTATTATATTAGGCTATTGGGGCCTGAGGCCTGCATATATACGAGCCAAATAACACTAGAATATGTGTAATTCATTGTTATTTGGTTGTTACTGCATCTTCACAAATAAAAAGACTTATTACTTCTTCGATGTGAAGTAAATGCCACTAGAGTATTTAAACATATCTGCACCTCTGATAAAGTTGTTGGCCAATATAGTGGGAGCAAGTTAAGAGAGGCCAAATGCAGAGGGATAAATCCTAAACTTTTATCCCTAATAAGCATGCCAATAAATTCTTCATCTTTGTTATAAAGCTTTAATGTCCTTGCAAACAAAGGCTCCACCATCCATGATCTCAGCATCGAGGAATGTACAGCATCTTGGATCGAACCAAAATCTGGTTCACAGCTGCTGACTCCTTCTCAACAATGCTGCCCTGCCTGGCTTCATATCCCCAGTTGAACCTATGCTGCAATCTCCAAATCCTGTCTCAGTCTCTCTTACCACTTCTCTGGTGCCCTTCTACATTAACATCATTTCACACTATAGCAATTGAATGCAATGTCTAGAAATTAATTCTTATGCCTTCAGTGATCACACCCTTGTCCATAATTTTTAAATCACCATTTCTGATAATTGTCCTTGTGATGGAATGAGGGGTCTGTCCTCAGGCTAAATTACAAGTCTGTGTCCCACTGCGCTTTCTGTATGACTCCCAGTTTCCTCAATGCTGAATTTGATTGGCAAGGATGCTACTGAGTCGAAAACCCGCATTGTGCATCATGTGTACCAGGTATTTCTACTGTAATGTGTGTTTCGTTAACGTAAATTGACTGTAACGTGATTGATGAATAGTGGACGCTGTTTGGATAACATGAACTTTCTGCTGTACAGGTATAGCGATTTTCTAGAGTGATTTCCCTATAATGCGATTTTCTATGGTGATTTTCTATAGCACAAGGTCACACAAGAACGCAACTATCACATTATAGGAGAACTACTGTACGCTCATTGGCTAAATCTGTATTAAATTCCCAACTGTTTTGAAATTCATGAACTAAACATGTTCCTTGCCTGTATAAAATCGAGTCATAAAGGTTTTCCTGTGGCCAATACATGTGTTTTATTTTACATCAGGAAACACATTTCATAAGGGAACATGCAGACGATATTTGGTTGAGAAATGATTATATAACCGGACTAAATAATCAGATTAGATTAGTATTCCAGAGAACATGAGTAGAAACTCAACCATGGTATTTTGAGATTTTGAATTCAGTTTGAAGAAGTAAAGCTGCTGCGCTCAACCAATCTGGTCAATATGTAACTGCAGTTCGTACAAATGTAGTTAACTGTTTACTGCACTTTGAGCTGATCCAGCAAATGACTAAGCTGCATCAAATCATTACAAAGAGTTCAAGAAAAGTATTTACTATCACATTCTCAGGACAACTATTGTGTGCTTTAGACAGCAGTAAGGTCTGCATACCGCAAATGAACAAAAGGATGAACTATTCTATAAAACATCAGTGTTTATATAACAAAGTAGAACAAGTATTCTTATGCTTTTTAGTTGACCAGATTCATAGATAAATGCTTCTAGGTACCCATGTACCATGGTAACTGAAAGAGAAAATTTAAATGTGACAAATATTCAGTTAAGAGATTTCATTCTGTCATAATGCTCCCTGGAGAATCTCACTGAATGTGCAGAAGGTCTGCACAGTTGCTTGGATAAAAAAACTACACTTCCATTTTGGAATAATTCTCTGAAGCACAGAAGGATATTGCCTATTTTGTTTTAAAGGCTTTTTCCACAATGTTTATATTAATTAAAATACAGTGGCTTTGAAATTCAGCAATGATCAGAGGCTGAGTGGCTACATGCAGCAAGCGTTTGCAATGGAGTCTGATTCCATGAGGATTCAGTATTGCCATTCCAGCTATGTTCTGATCAGTTGGTGTGGGAGTATAGGAGGATCTTCCATTCCCCCAGAATGCTGGGGGTTTCCTCCAGGACCATTGTTGAATACAATTTATAGACATTAGAAAAACACAGGATATCCGGGTCTCTTTAGGTGTTTTTGAAAGGCTTTAAGTATTTTCAAAACTAAGGTAATTCATTACCTTCTGCTAGTAGGAAACTGAAGACGCCAAAGTTTATTTTTATCTTTGGGTCAGAAGAGCTTTACAAATATGGATTGGGGCAGGTGGTGGTGAAATGCCCTTTGACAATCTCACAATTGCAGTGTAGAGTGTGGCTTACTGCAAAAGCAGATACAGATTCTGCTCTGCCATGTCTCCACGGGTGGAGCTGCCACCAAGTCATTTTGGCCTCAGTGGCTATAAGACTAGATATTGTGTAGAATTACATTCATGTGTTACCATCAAGACTGCCGATCCATTTTCATACTTCCGTCCACCAATAGCTGGATCACACATAGCACTGATGGTAGGCACATGATTTGTGCCCATTGAAGGGAGTTCAGCACTATTTGAGAGTGTTGGCAAAGCTGTTGACTCAACAGTGCTTGACAAGTTAATTTCATTTTGCATACCTACAAGAAACAATAATTAGCTTCAAACAGAAAGATAGTTTGTAAAGTATCAGCAGATTTAAAATTTGTACAATCGAAATCAACTTTAAAAAAAAATCAACTGTCTTAATAATTTCCTATAACTAAATGCATTGTTAAAAATCTTTCAACTGAAGGTAGTATCACATTATTCTTTGTATAGCACCATTACTAACAGAAGTCATCCTACATTGTCCCCAACATTACAAGAACCATCCAGTATAAAACTGGCAATTTTAAAATCGGTTGGCAATTTCCAAGCTTTACATTTAGATTTTTGATTGTACCAGCATCAGAACAGTGGGTTCAAAATAATATTGACATAACATGTTTTGGAGATTAAACACACTGTTGCTTGGAAAGATAGGTTGTGGGTTTGAATCAATGATTCCATATGCTAACTCCTCAATGTCAGAAACGAAATCAGTGGAAGACACAAAATGAAAACTTGGTTTGTTCCATTTAAACGGGATGAAAATTTCAACAGAAGCCTCAGTGGCAATTCTTATAGTTGTAGTGAGAGTTATTTTAGTAGGCAAACCCAATGGATGTTTGGTGGGAAGAGCACAACTGCTGTTTGCCTACCTGTGTGAAGGCCAAGACACTTTAGTTTACTTTATATACAGGCACAAACTAGATGTCAATTGAAGCATTTTATTTCATCTTGCTAAAAATTCAATCAAATTTGCTCTACTGTACGTTAACTTTAAGAGATGTTTAATTATTCAAAGTAAATGGGATTATAGTGTTTATATTTACAGGGAACAAAGAACAATACAGTGCAGGAGCAGGCCCTTTGGCTCACCAAGCCTGTGGTGACATATGACATCTTTCTAAACTAAAAAACCTTTTGCCTCTATGCAATCCATATCCCTCTATTCCCTGCCTATTCATATATCTGTCAAGATGCTTCTTAAATATTGCTGTTGTATCTGCTTTTACCAACACCTCTGGCAGTGCATTCCAAATACTTATCATCCTCTGTGTAAAAAAACCTGCTGTCTCCTTTTAAATTTACCCCTTTTACCTTAAACCTATGTCCCCTAAAATTGATATTTCTACCCTGGCAAAAAGACTCTGACAATCCATTCTATCCATGCCTCTTATAATTTTGTAAACTTTGATCAGGTTGCTCCTCAGCCTTCGAAATTCAAGTGAAAACGAACCAACTTTGTCCAATCTTTCCTCATAGTTAATAACATGGTAAACCTTTTTTGTACTTTTTCCAAAGCCTCCACATCCTTTTAGTAGTCTAGCGGCCAGAACTGTATGTAATATTGCAATATGGTTTAATTAAAGTTCTATACAGTTGCAACATGATTTGCCAATATTTATACTCTGTGGCCCAACCAAAGAAGGCAAGCATGTCATATGATAATACAGTGTGGAGCTGGAGGAACACAGCAGGCCAGGCAGCATCAGAGGAG